AATCTTAGTATAACACTTAACAAAAATTGAGTACACCACCAAGCTACTTCATGAAGTTGAAGAAATTGCTGATGGAAAAGAATTCTACTCTTAAACACTAAAATCAATAGGATAATAAAATATGACATAAATTAATAATTTGTGCAACCATATTGCAATTTGCTCAAACTAAAAAAAAAGAAAAAAAATAAGAGAAAATAAATGATTAAAAAAGTGTTTTTTGACAAACTAGGGTTTAGGTTACCTTCAAAAGAAGACCATAGAGATGTATGCCCTGACTTTGAGTGCTAAAGATTTCATCGTCGAACAATTTCAATGCCGAGGATTTCATTGTCGAACAGTTCATCGAGGATTTTACCACCGGATCATCATTGTCAATTTGGGGAAAACGAAGGGGAAGAGAGATGAACCTAAAAGGTAAAAGGATAAGTTTTGAGGTTTTACTGAGGGAGGGCTATTGTAGTAATTTGTCACCACGTGCATGACACATGCAAATCTAAAATTAACAGAGTTGGACGGAGTTAATTCGCAAGGGGTGTAAATGCAACAATACATAATACAGGGGTAGTAAGTGCAACTCGTTGAAACTACAGGGGGTGTGTTCGCAATTAACCCTTTATTTTTTGTCCAACTAATATTTTGTCTGTTGATAGCAGATATATCTTGAATGGTGGGTGTTTGACTTCTTTCCTGATTTCTTTTCTTTGTTATATTGGTAACGGATCTTAACATTTGACTGGTTATACTCGGTCATCATGATAGTTTTGTTTGCTTAGAATTTGCATACTGTTGTAAAAAACAGCATGGAATAAAAGATGTGAAGCTATCGAAAAGACATGAAGTTACTCTTGTAAAAGACAGCATGGAATAAAAGCAGGAACCACCATGTGGGAATGTAGCTGTCCACCATATCTTAGCATCTGAAGTTGTCCTATTGACGGTTAGCTAGCTTTATTCAGCTACATTTGGTGGGCATTTCTTTTGCATAAATTGAAATTATCATGTTTGCTGACCTTTCTAAACTTTTACTGAGTTCTTATATTGGAAATTCTAGAGTTGTAATTATGGATCTACCTAAGTAGTTTCAAGATCTTGTCACTTTTGATAGTTGCCTCTAAAACGATCATCCATTCTCACTTTCAATTGAACTTATTTCTTTCGTTGAATGCATATGGTACTGAACACCAGAGATGGCAAAACCTATTAGTTAAAATTTTGCAAGTTCCTCCAGCCTTCGCACTAGCAACTTTCTTCCTACCACTGTTCTGCCAAAATGCCCTCCCAATCCCACAACGGAGCCAGCCAAAAACCACCAGAAAACTCTTCATTCTTGACGTTAGGACTCGGAGATGGTTTTTTCAATTGAAGTAGCACATGTGAACCTTGGATCTGGAGCTTTGGTTCATCAAACAACATCAGTCCATGATATGTCTAGTTTCGGAGGTTGTCTGATAAAGGTTATGTAAAGGAATAAAAAATTGATGACATTCTGAATTTGTAGTACTGCTTTTCAAAATTTTCACCTTCTAATGTTCAATAGATATTTGCATCAAACATGTCAGAGTAGTTCTCCCTGCAAAAACTGGTATACAGCTGTACAGCTTCATATAATTCATTGATTTAATGTAGTTTTGTGTTGCTTTAGTAATGATATCCTGGGAAAAGTGGCATGGATGATATTCTTAGCATCTAAACTACTGCACTGAAGGACTTATCTAAAAATTAAAGGACTGATGCCTTTTCACAATTAACATACCTTTCTGTACAGCTACAAGTAAAAATGAGTTAAATCATGGTAATTGAGATAACATTGACAATGACGTACATTTATATTATTAATAAATCAGTGTTTTTGTTAGGTTATAAAATTATAACCCTCAACTCTCACAATTGGTATACTGTGAGGGAATTTAAGATGATATCATAGTAGATCAGGTTCGATTCCTATTGCCAATTTTGTTTTGTATTTTTATTGGCACTGTTCAATTAAGGGTTTAATATCAAACACAATTATATTGGTAAAACTATTAACACGGTTGGGAGAAATGATTTTCCAAATAATTGGTTTATAGGTTTTTTCGTAGAAAAGTTCTTAATGAAGTTTCCACCTTTAATTAGGTTATAAAGTATCAAAATCTAGAGAATGTTGAGAAGCATGTTCCTTAATAAGAATTGTGAAGACTGGTTTTAGAAGTTCATTTAATGTTGTTCCGGCCAGCTATATCTTTGAATTATAGTTGGATTGGTTAAAACTTAGAGATTCGTATGTATTATATAGCAATAAAATCTCCATCTGGCAGCTGAGCTGGCATGAGATAGGGGTGCAGGGCAAGGTTTGCATAGAAAGAAATCTGTCAGATAGTACATTTTACATTTCGTCTTCTGCATTTTTAGTGTCCAGCTTTGTAAATTAATATTCCATGGTCATCACTGTTTTCATATTATTTGTGGCTTTATCACATAATTAATTTCCTCTTCATCTTTGGTTTTTTGTTGGCAGGGAGCTAAGCATTTAACTGACTTTCATCCATGCTTTCTACCTCTTCCAAACCATGTCTGTCAGATTTCATCTGGGCCCAATTATGACTACTACTCCTCAGTCATGCGATTTATAATATCATCACCTGTGGTATGCAGATTATTTTCGATGTTTATGGGTTCTTACTTTTGGATGCTTGTAAAAAACAGGCATAACATTTAATTTCTTTTTTTTTCCTTTTACTTGCTAAAACCTAAGGTACTATGCTAACAATATGCCATGTGTTTGCTGGTGCTATGTGAAAGTACAAAACATTATTGAAATCAAATGCTTCATTATCTTCTGCAAGCCACACTTTACCCTAAAACAATGATATATTAAAAATATTTGGTTTGATAAAATTTTTTTTAGTATTAACCTAAAGTCTGCTCTCCATTCATGCATGACAAACAAGATGACATTTTCGTTCAATTAAGAAATGTGATAAATTACAAAATTATATACATTGCGTGAAGCTACTTTTTCTAATTTTGGAATCTGAGAAGAATTATCTTCTCAACTTATGATCGTGACAATTTTTTTAATGTTCTCATGAGAGTGTATGTGTCAAACTTCTACATCAGATATGACCTATGAGTGGGACATGATTTTATCGATCTTACTGAAATTGGTCTCTTTGGTTAGACCTAGTTACATTCAATATTTGCTGCCTAGCATCAAGAAATTATTTTCAATATTTCACAAACATCATGCCTACCAACAGGCAAGACTTGTGCAGTGAGCACAATTCGTTCTATATCCTTTAATTTGCTTTTGTGATATCTCAAAGGCATCTGTTTTGAGTGATATTATATTCTGTTCTACTTTGTTAAAGAGCACTGAGAATTCTAACAGATGCCTGATGCCGTTGTGGATTACAATTTATCAACTGGCAAGTGGCTAATAGTGCAGCAACAAAATGTTCTGCATGAACGAACAAGGACTTTATATGGAACTTCTTCAACTACTATGAAAGACAAATCCCCTTCTCCAAAGAGCTTTGATGCCACACTAGAAGCTGAGAATCCATGTGGTATCTGGAATGAGCTCTCTGAGTTCTATACATGTGATCATTATGATGTCCCTTCGAATGATGAAATCTTGGTCCCCTTGACTGTTGTGTATTCACAGAAACACAAGCAAGAAGGTAATCCAGGGCTACTTCATGGCCATGGTGCCTATGGCGAGCTACTAGACAAACGCTGGCGAAGTGAATTGAAAAGCCTCCTTGATCGGGGTTGGGTAATTGCATACGCTGATGTCAGGTTTGTCGTTTGCATCTTACTTTTAACAACATCTTCCTTTTTGCTCCATGAACATAACCTGTTCAAGAGGGGTCACTCTATTATATTCGTTACTGCGATCTCCATAAATAACATTCTCAATCTTGCAATTGTTTTAGTTCTTCTATAGGCATTTTTATGTTTTCCAATCTTCTACCCTTTAAGAAGAAATCAGATTTGATATTTTGACTGATTATGGCATTTTTCGTATCTGTTTCATGGAGATGCAACTGAGCTGGTTGCTAGCTATCCAACGCCATCTTCCGTTGTCTTTGCTTGTATAGAAAGTGAAAATGTAAAACCTTAAATACAACATTGACGGAGCTGATGGCACATGGGCAAATGTAGTAGTTAATTATGGGGAAAAGTGTGAAATAAGATATATGAATTTGGATTTTTCTCAGCATATGATCTTATAACATCAAATACAATTTTTAAAAAGAGAAAATAACACTTAATATATTTTAAAAGTAGTCAAGTAACTTGTTTCCTTAACAGATAGGTTAATATACGAAGGTTGCAAAATTATACAAGGATTCAACTTGATCGCACAACACAGATTAGTGATATGAGACATTAGCATTAAGAAGTGGAGGAAAGCTAGTAGTAAGAATAGACTAGACACTAAATGGTGGAGCTTGAAGGAAGAAAAACATGGTTCGTTTTAAGGACAGAATGTGCGTATTATGTCCGTGAAAGTGCACTTCTATATATGTCTGTACATGTGCATGCATTGACACATGTTCTTTTTCATAAGGGCTATAACTCTAATTGTCACTAACACATTGGTATTAGACATTGCTGATAAACTGGCTTTTGTTCTAGTACTCTGCCCCATGTGGAAATTAATATGCTATAATGACCCCTGACGCTTGTTTATCCAATTTTAGAGGCGGTGGCGGCGGTGGTAAGAAGTGGCACCAAAATGGCATACGTATGAAGAAGAAAAATTCAATTCAAGATTATATTTCATGTGCTGATTTTCTAATTGAGAAAGGGATTGTTCAAGAAAATAAGCTTGCTGGCTGGGGATACAGTGCTGGGGGCCTTTTAGTTGCTTCTGCCATTAACACTCGTCCAGACTTATTTCATGCTACAGTATTGAAGGTATTCATATGTTTTACCTTTTTTCTCTTATGGTTGCTAGTTTAACCTTCTCCCTTTTTAGTTAATGTTTGTTTGTTCAACAAATTGTTTGGATCTGTTTAGCATTTCCAAGAAGATGTTTAGTTGACAGCCGCTTTGCACATGTGAAAGTCATTTGTTAAATTGCACGTGTCAGCCATTGTTAGCACCTAAAGTGTTGTTTCTCCTTATTTCATATTATATGAGCAAGCACAGCAGATTGTATGATGGTTGCTAGAACTTTGGAGAAAAAAATGGTGCATATTTTCTTGACTTTAGGGTTACAAGTGAAGCTGCACAAATGAAGCTAGCAGATTGTATGATGGTTGGTTACATCTAATGAAGGCCAGCAATGACAGTTATGGAAACTCAGATTTTCTTTGATTGGGTAAATCACGGTTTAAATAGGAAGTCTAGTTGCAAGATGTAAGAAATGATTAGATAATCCTATTTTGGTGTAGCTTTTATTACTTATTAACATGGCATACATGTTCGTTGTGATTATAGTTACAATAATCAAATTGTTTGAGACTTCCCATCAAAATGGCATTGGTTTCAACTCACAAGGCTCCATGAAACACTTTAAATGGTAATTTTTCAGTCAGGTGTCAGCCTGATATGGACCAACTGAATTGGTGTGAAGCTCTTGGTTTATAGGAATTATGGCAGTTTAAAGCAAGAAGTAATAGCTCCAGAAAACGAAATGTTTTAATCATTGAAAGAAATGCTTTCAGTAGAGTGTTATAGAATCATCTAAGCATTTTCCATATCATGAAGTCCATTCTATTACCAAGAGGCTCCAGCGAAGGGTTGTTTGGCAAATTGAAAGTATGAAAATTATTTATTTTTACAAAATAACTGTCACATCCCCATCAGCATGCAACTGAAAGTATAAAAATAAATTATTATTAAAAGCACAAAAGTGAAGATGGCATGGCAAAATAAGATTTTATTAATAAATATAGTTAATTGCTTATTTAATTAGAAGTGGTCCAACATTTTCACTTTCATGTGACTTTTTAGGGAAAGTTAAAATTGCATTAAATCCTATGTGGAAATCTTTTTGCATTTCTTTTTCATAATCACTTGCATACAAACAAACACTTAAAAAGTGTTATAAGTGTCACTTTCTCTCTTCATTTTTCACTTGTATACGAACAAACACCCCCAGTTCACGAAGATCTATAGCTGGCTGTAGCCTGTCAATCAACCGATACTAAGGCTCTGTGCCAAATTTCTAGCGGGTATAAGTAACAAAGGGTTTCATGCCCGAGAAACTTTGATGCTCACTGCTCAGTTGACAGGTAAACCTACTTTTTGTCATGCAGTTTAAGCTCATGGGAGAAGGATATCTTTGTGCATTTAAAATAGAGTTTCAGTGGATAAAGTTGGATATCTTTCACTGCCAGACTGCCAGTATGTATGGGTGGTCCCAATTTATGTCCTCGAGCAGTAGAAAGAAAGAAAACCTATGCCAATACAAGGAATACATACGTGGACACACACACATACAACATGTGTTGTACTTGTTTGTTACTATAGTATTTAACTTTTTTTTTCTTTCTCTAGATGTTAGCTATTTATCATTAATTCAGTGCTCTTTTCCTGTATAGGTTCCCTTTTTAGATGCATGCAACACTCTCCTCTACCCTATTTTACCACTTCTACCAAGTGACTATGAAGAGTTTGGATATCCTGTGGACCTTGAGGAATTCATGGCCATTAGGAACTATTCCCCTTATGATAACATTCAGAAGGATATTGCATACCCAGCTATATTGGTGACATCATCTCTTAATACAAGGTAAATCTTGCCTGAATATAATTTGAAGTTGCTTTGATTCTAGTGCTGAAAGTTTTTAATTGGATAATTTGCTAGCACGTGAACTTCAACTTGTGATAGATTTTTACATGGAATTTTACCATTGCCATGAGGAAGGTTCATGCATATTTACCAATTTCAGGACTAGATTTCTTATGGCAGGTTTAACTTGCTTCAGTATAAGTGATTACTCTTAGGTATGACTAGGTTTAATTTGCTTTTGGATCATAAAGAATTGAGATGTTCTGTTGTTTTTCTCCTACTGAGGTTTTGGTTGGACGCTCAATGAAGCTAGATATTTTTTTAGCTGACTTAGGTGCACTCATCTGCCTTTAATGTCAATTTAGGGTCAATGAAGTACATTTTTCTACACTAACATCATCTCTTACTCCATGTTTCCAACATGTACATTGTAGTCTGCTCATAATGGTAGCTGTTGTCTATGGTTACTGAATATCATATTATTTCTAACTGCTTGAGATTTAGATATAGCTGGCCAGGATTTTGTGCTGTTTTGATCCCATAATAAAAAATCACAAGGAAACGATCAGGACCAAGATTGTGATTAACAGCATGATATTTTTGCAGTTATCATGCCTCTGGGAGGTGATCAACCTCTATTAAGGGTTATTTTGGTGTCTACTTTTGTTTACAGATAAGTCCCTCATCCAAAATATTTTTTCAGAGAACAACTTCTACGTGTAAGAAATTCTTATAGCATGATTAACAGAATTTAACACTCGTTTACATACTAAAACGAGATTGAATAAAATGGTACATACCTTCTTCCTTGTCCACTCCACAACACAAAACCAAGATGATGGATTATTATCACAGGACTTGATTATTGATCATCCATTGTGTGTGGACAAGTGACTCTCTTTATAGAACTCCTACCATCAAGGAGGACTTGATTATTGATCATCCATTGTGTGTGGACAAGTGACTCTCTTTATAGAACTCCTACCATCAAGGAGTTCATAACTACCAAATGTAGTTATGTCGTGGACAAGTGACTCTCTTTATAGAACTCCTACCATCAAGGAGTTCATAACTACCAAATGTAGTTATGTCTTAAAAAAACCACCAAAGTAGTTAATTCTAAAATTCAAATTCAAATTGCTATTAATGTCACATAATAGAATATGAAGAATCAAAATTCTAACATTCTCCCACTATACTCAAATATTCTATTAATGTTCTAATGACATAACAATATTGCAACTATACTTTATGACTAAACAATTTGTTGCAATTGAATAAGCAAAATAATTAATTCTTAAGCAACATCAAATAAGTCTAGACATAAAACATAACAAACACTTAAACATTAACGAGCCCCATGTTGCTTACATGATCCTTAAATGGAATGACTGATATAGCTTTAGTCAATGGGTCAGCAATCATGAACTCTGTTCTTGTGTGTTCAAACTTCGCAATGTGATCACGAACTCGACCTTTAGCGTTAAGGAACTTGATGTCAATGTATTTCGATTGACTTCCGCTTTTATTGTTGTTAGCAAATGCAACCGCAGATGTGTTGTCACAATAAATAAGCAATGGTTTTAAAATGAGATCAACCACTTTAAGCTCCACAACAAAATCCCTTAACCATGATGCCTGTGATGACGCCTCGTAGCAACCTATAAATTCTGCTTTCATAGTCGAGGATGTAACTAAACTTTGTTTCATATGTTTTCAGGATATTGCACCTCCAGCAAGTAGCAAAATATATCCCGAAGTAGATTTTCTTGTATCCTCGTAACCAGCCCAATCAGAATCTGTATATCCAATCATTTCCAAATGATCTAAATAACTATATGTGAGCCTATAATCTTTAGTTCCTTTTAGGTATCTCATTATCCTCTTGACAGCTTTTCAATGAGTCATTCCATGATTATTTTGATACCTTCCCAACATTCCTACTGAAAAGGCAAGATCTGGTCTTGTGCAAACAACCGCATACATAAGACTTTCAACTACAGAAGCATATGGAATGTTTTTCATTTCTTTTAGTTTTGAAACATTGCTTGGACATTGATCCAAACCAAACTTGTCACCTTTGGAATTAGGTGCATCTTTAGGTGCACAATTCTGCATTCCAAATTTATCCAAAACTTTGTTAATGTAAGCTTTTTGAGATAATCTCAATTTTCTTAGGGATCTATCTCTGTGAATCTCTATTCCAATGACATAAGAGGCTTCACCTAAATCCTTCATTTTAAAGTTTTGTGACAAGTAAATTTTAGTCTCATGTAATAGGTCATTATCATTACATGCAAGTAATATATCATCAACATATAGGACTAATATAACAAATTTACTCCCACTGATTTTAACATATATGCATTCATCCACAATATTCTCTATAAAATCAAATTTAAGAATTGTATTGTGGAATTTTATATGCCATTGACGGGAAGCTTGTTTAAGCCCATATAATGATTTATTTAGCTTGCAATATAATTGATCTTTTTCGCCCAAAATTAAATCCTTTGGATTGTCTCATGTATATTTCTTCCTCAAGATCACTATTTAGAAAAACCGTCTTCACATTCGTTTGATGTAACTCTAAATCCATATGAGCTACTAATGTCATAACTATTCTTAAAGAATCCTTAGAAGAAACAGGAGAAAATGTTTCATGAAAATCAATGTTTTCCTTTTGGGTAAACCCTTTGGCTACAAGTCTGGCTTTATATCGTTCAACTTTACCAGATGAGTCTCGTTTTGTTTTGAATATCCATTTACAACCAACAACTGAGACTCCTTTCGGTAATTCAATGAGATCACATACTTTATTCTTTTCGATAGACTCTAATTCTTCTTTTATGGCATTAAGCCATAAATTAGAATTTTCTCCATTAATGGCTTGTGAAAACGAAGTAGGATCATTTTTAGGTCCTACATCAGTGTTAGACTCTTAAAGATATGCAACATAGTCACTAGGTATTGTTGGTTTTCTGATTCCAAAGGATCTTCTTAGTTCAACTTGATTATCCAAATTTTCTTGATTTTGGAGAACCGGTACCTCATGAATTTCCTCAACATGAGGAAGTTCGTCATCTATTTCATTTTGAATTATTTGTTCATTAACTTGATTTGGTGTGTCTTCTATAATAGGCACAATTCTCCTTCGAACAAATAATTCTTTACCTGTAGATGATGAACTGTGATTCTTTATTTCTTCAAAATTCTCATTTTACGAGGAAACTCATCAAAGGTTGAATCCTCAAGAAATTTAGCATTCCTAGCTTCTACAAACTTTGGTGTGTGCAACGGATAATAGAATCTATATCCTTTTGAATTTAAAGTATACCTAATAAAGAAGCCACTTTCGATTCTTGAATCAAGTTTCTTAATGTGAGGATTATATATTCTCACTTCAACTCGGCAACCCCATGCGTGCATATAGGTTTCCATTCTTTCCAAATCTCAAAAGGAGTTTTTGGAACTGCTTTTGATGGAAGTATATACACAACAGTCGTAAGTGTTTCACTCCAAAAGGATGACGGTAGATTAACATTACTAATCATGCTTCTAACCATATCCATTAGTGTCTTATTCTTTTTTTTAGCCACACCATTTTGTTGTGGTGTACCCGACATTGTGTATTGATAGTATTGTGCTATAATACCTTCACTTTTAAGGAATTGGGCAAACAGACTTGGCATTTGTTATTTTTCGGTGTATCTCTTATAGTACTCTCCACCCGTATCTGATCTCACAATCTTTATTTTCTTGTCTAATTGATTTTCTACCTCGACCTTATAAGTCTTAAAAGCATCTAATGCTTCAGACTTTTCACTTAGGAGGTATAAATACATATACCTAGAATGGTCATCAATAAATGAGATGAAATATTTTTGACCATTTAGACAAAGAGTTGGAGATGGTCCCCATATGTCTGTATGAATAATTTCAAGACATTCTGTATCCTTTTAGAATCCTTTTTAGTAATGTTAGTTTGCTTTCCCTTATGCAATCCACATATGTACTAAAGTTAGTAAAGTTTAGATTAGAAAGAATCCCTTCATTTACTAACCTTTTAATTCTATTAACTAAAATATGGCCTAATCTCTTATGCCATAGTATAGAGGAGTTTTCCTTAATGATACTTCTTTTATTGCCAACATTATCGACGTTTAAAGAAAACAAATTATTTTTAAAGTTTGTGTCTAAATCAAGCTTGTAAAGATTTTCAAATAATATTCCAGAACCAATACAAACTTCGCCTTTATATAAAAGAAATCTATTAACATTGAAATTAATTTCATAACCACAAATACTTAGTTTTGATACAGAAATCAAATTTCTTGAAAATGAAGGTACATAGAACACATTTTTCAAATCAATTACATAACCAGATTTTAAAATAAGTTGATATGTTCCCACGGTCTTTACAAGTGACCACATCCCATTTCCTGAATAGATGTCCGACTCACTTGTCGTCGGTGTCCGTTAGGTTAAAAACCCCTGCATAGTATTGATAACATGAATTGACGAACCAGAATCAATCCATCAAGTATTATTAGGAACATGACTAAAATTAGATTCGAAGCAAACATTTAATATGATATTACCTTTCTTCGCGAGCTATTTCTTGTATTTCAGGCAATCTTTCTTAACGTGTCCTCTTTTTTTACAGAAGAAGCACTTTGGACCCTTATCCTTGAACTTCATAGGTTGTTTTCCTTTAACCTTTAACAGATCAGATCCATTTTTGCCTTTAAATGCATTTTTCTTATCATGAGTTGTTATATTAACACTTTCTATAACCTCATGTTTAAGTCTTTCTTCTTCTTGAACACACATGGTTAGGAGCTCATTTAAGGACCAATTCTCTTTGTGTGTGTATTGTAAGAGATCTTGAAAGGTCCATACTCCATTGGAAGTGAAGAAAATATGAAATGCACTAGAAATGATTCAGATATATCAATTTTTAGAGGTTTAAGTTGGGAAGCAATATCCTTTAATTGCATAATATGTATGCACACACCCTTACGAGTATCATATTTCACATTTGTGAGTTTCTGAATCAAGGTTGTAGCCATAGCCTTGTCACAAACAATAAATTACTCCTCGATTGCTTTCATGAAATCCTTTACCCTATCAAATTCAGGAATTGATCCCCGAATACTTCGACTAATATGGGATTTCATAAGCATCATACTGAGACGATTTGCACGCTCCCATTTTTCAAATTCAGCCTTCTTACTTGGTTTCGTAGTCTCCGTGGGAGTAGGAGGACATTCTTTATGGAGAGCCAAGTCTAGATCTAAACATCCCAATTTTAGAAGGATCTTGTCCTTCCAATCTGAAAAATTATCGCCGCTTAGAATCAAGACTTCATTAACTGCAGAAACAGGAACAACTACATTGAAATGAAACAAAATTAATGCTACAAAAATTAAACTTTATTCAAAGTAATGACTTTTAACCTTCCTGTGGGTAGAGGTCCTAAAATGCATAGATTCATTATTTAGTCTTTAATTAAGAACAATAAAAGTTTGATTATAATGAAAGAAAATGTCCATACCCGTGGGTATAGGAAATTTCCCCATTATAAACAAATATGCTTTCTTAACCCAATAAATTTACATAGATCATTACTTCCCTGTGGGGTATAGCAGAGATATATGTAAATATAATTGCAACTCTGAATTGAATTAACATCTTTAATAATGAGATATAACATATATTTTCAAGACTTATAGATGCTGTGACCATTCTACAAATTTAAACTTAATCCCATTAAAACAGTCATTATAAAATCATTCAATCCAAAAGAAAATTAAATTGAAATGTAGGCAGTTTGTTCAAATGGAAATTCGGAACTGCAATGTAATAAGAGAAAAAAAATTCTTTTTTTTATTATCAAACCCAAGACCACCAAGGCCCTTGTCAAGATATATTAATATTGGGGGATTTGAACCTATGACCTTGGATTCCTCACTCAAAATTCTTACCACTAGGCTACTTTATTAGTTGGTAAAAGATGATTCCAAGTTCTATAAAACCTTCAATAGTACAGAAAACAAATTGTACCAAAATGAATTCGGGAAAATAACAAACTTGCATCATATAATGGCTCTGATACCAATTGTAAGAATTTCTTATGGCATGATTAACAGAATTTAACACTCGTTTACATACTAAAACAAGATTGAATAAAATGGTACATACCTTCTTCCATTGTTGAATGTAATGAACACCGAATTACCGATAATTGTTCTTCCTTGTCCACTCCACAACACAAAACCGAGATGATGGATTATTATCACATGACTTGATTATTGATCATCCATTGTGTGTGGACAAGTGACTCTCTTTATAGAACTCCTACCATCAAGGAGTTCATAACTACCAAATGTAGTTATGTTTAAAAAAAACTCACCAAAGTAGTTAAGTCCAAAATTCAAAATGCTATTAATGTCACATAATAGAATATGAAGAGTCAAAATTCTAACAATTGATATGGTGTTTGGGGCATCTAAAATTCTTATGAAAATGATCAGTATTTGGAATGGATTTTCAGTGGAGAATGGATGTTTACTATACCAATTTTTACATAACATTGATAATAAATAAGAGTACCATGTAGAGACCTTTTCTTCTTCTTAGGGGAATTGACAAGCAGGCTGCACGAGGGACCTTTTTCTCCTTCTTTTCTCTTTTGACGCAAGGCCGCAGTTCTTTTTTACCAAGTAGCTTATGATGGAATATTGAGTATCACTTTCTTCTAGAAAGGACATATTATTGCTATTGTTCTCAAATTACAAATAACACTATCCGATGCAATATTAAGTGCCGTGTGCTATTCCTTACTGCAGGTTTGGCGTGTGGGAAGCCGCCAAGTGGGTTGCAAGAGTTCGTGAGCTCACGGTCTATGATCCTAGGCGTCCAGTTCTACTCAATCTAACAACAGATATTGTGGAGGATAATAAGTATCTCCAGACCAAGGAGTTGGCGATGGAGACTGCTTTTCTTATCAAAATGATGACTGATACCTAGATTTGTTGCATCCGTGCAGCTGGATGTTTCAATGGGGTACACACATCCTGTGAATATCATGCTTCCCAAGTTTATGATATTGGTATGAGATCATGCTAATTGCTGGACTGTAGATTCGATGGAGGTATTTGATTTAGAAGAAGCTGAGATATCTGTGAAGTTGTTTGTTTGGCGTGCAGCCGTATTTGGAGGAAGCCATTGACAAAGAGAAGGCAGAGTCTGCAACTTTCCGCTCACCAGCTTATATTACATTTTTTTTATTTGGATAAAGGGATAGTAATACTGGGCTTAATGTAAGCTTGTTGTATAATCATGCTCTTCGTACAATAATTGAGGTATCGTATGCAAGAATACATATCGTTGCATAAGTGATACCATCTTCTATGCATTTGGTGCAAAGTTTGCGTTATTAATTTGTCGACGATGTCATCTTTTCACATTATTTCCGAAATTAAGTGGGGAAGTGACTGTCTACTGCTGGATTAGGCTGATTCTAATTGCAAAAAGGATTATTTACATTCTGCTACATTGTGGTAAGATGTAATTATACAGCTAATCTTGGAGTCTATGTGTCCGTGTCCGCAGGGACGATACTAAAATTACTGACTGAAATTATATAGGCAACCATAATAAAAGTAAATAGGGTTACTCAGGGTTATTGGAGTAATCTAAAATCAATAATCTTAGCGTTATCTGTATAGATACATAACTACCATGAGTTAAACGCCAGAAAGTTGTACCATGAGATGTCCGGTGTTGAAAATAGTGTTATTGAAAATAGTTAACACTATGACTTTTTAACTGTTCTGACCAAAATACCCGTCCCTTAATTAAAACCCTCAACCGGTAAATACTCCACCCCCCACCAAAAAAAAAAAAACTGACACCAGATAATCTCAAATACACATAATTTGTTCAATATCTCAGCAAAAAAAAAAAAAAAAAAGCCAACGCAGGCTTACAATTCATGTCACTACCATGATTTTTTTTTCTCTTCAAATCTTCTTCTATCTCCCTCAAATGAGCCTCAAATTTGAGAATTTCTCTTTCTCTATTCCTTATAACGCTTTCATTATCAAGTAATTTATTCTCCCTCTCCTTTAATTTCATCTTCTTTTCTCTCAAATTTTTTTTTTCAAATTTCCCAAAATTTCTCTTTGAACATTGACCATATCTTCCTTAGACAACTCTTTTTCATATAACAATTCCTTAATCACAAATTGAGCTTGGGGACGAAAGGGCTTATCTTTCCACTCAAAAAGCTTACACTTCGATGTTGTACAATAGTTTAGAGAGCTAAAAAATGCCTCCCATAATTTTCCATTGTCCAAGCCTATCCCATGCTTGAAGTTGCATTGTAGTAACACACCTTAATCTCCTTCTCTTCATCCATACCCCATTGACTAGAGTAGCATTTAAAACCCTAGAGCATGATTTCATGACACATGCCATGAATTAGGAAGATGGAAGAGGTAATGAGATTTTGAGATATGAAATTTAGCGGGAGATGGTATTTTAGAAGAGGGGGAGAATTGTAGATATAGTAAATAAAATTATAAATAAGGGCAAGATATACTTAAAAGTGTCACATGAGAGTCACATGGGATTATTCCAAAGAATATTTCCACGTGTAACTAACGGATAGCAGTAACTTGTCAACTTTATGTAACTCATGGTATTTTTCTTCTACTTTTTACAACTTGTGGTATTCAAGTGTCACGGTAAGGAAACTTTATGATATTTAAGTGCCACGATAAGGAAAGTTTATGGTATTTAAGTGCCATTAGCCAAAAAAAAAAAAAAAAAAAAACCCAAAAGTTATCCATCTACTATTTTCGTTTTGAGAGGAGTTTATTCTCCAGACTTGCCACAACAACCTCGCGCTGGACGTGTTGGAAGCAATGGGGACAACACCATCCAAGACATGGAAAGATCTGAAGGTCCGAGGAGAGCAGGCCGAGCGGTTCCTCAGAAGGAAGAAGGCGGAAAAAGGCCAACAGGCGAATAATGCTCCGCAACAGAATTTCGTCCCACGGGGGAAAGGTAAGGCACATGCTAATGCAGTTGATGCTAATCAAACTTTCCAATTGCAACCTCAGCAACAGCAGTAGCAACAAGCATCACAACAACCTTGGGGACAATGGCAACAACGGCCTCAGAAGCAGAAATCCTCGGAGCCGAGGTTTCCTAAAGTGTACTCCTTCAAGGATGACGAAGTTCCCGGCATCTTTAAGTACCTGTTAGAGAATAACAAAATCCAGCTGCCGACGATTATGGATCAAGAAGGGGCTAACAAAGTGACGGATCCGAAGTATTGCGCATACCATAGAGCGGTCCATCACCCTAAGTGCCATTAGCCAAAAAAAAAAAAAAAAAAAAACCCAAAAGTTATCCATCTACTATTTTCGTTTTGAGAAATGAGATTGAGTCGATTCATCTTTTGACTTGAAGGTTAACATCGGGTCCAACATAACCACGGTTGTCTAAAGCATGCTTCAGAAGCTGAACGCCGGTTTACTCCGTTGCTCGGCGCTCTTTTGAATATTATGCAGTGAAAAAAACATTAATTTAGCAAACATTCACTGTTTAACGTCAGCCACCACCTTTGACAATACTACTTTCACCTTCAAAAATCCTAACCTCCTCCATCGTCAACGATTTACTGTTAAAACTCTTTTCTGATGTTAAACGTCAACAAACAATTTAATTACATCTTACCGTACAAATAGATAATTCAACCATGGACAAGCTTTGAAATCAAAATTCGCAACGTTAGCACAACCAGTTCATGAACACCTTAAACTGATCGTATGACTATAATTGGCCCCTTCAACGCCGCAAACGAATCAAAAGTGAAGGCGTAGATTTGATGAAGAAAAACGACGGTAAGCTCAGGAACAGTATATATAAAAACTTTGGTAGATTTGGAAAAGCATGAGCTCATAATTATCATGAAATTTTGGGATTGGGTAAATGAATCCCTTGTCTCTTGTTAACAGTAAAGAAATGAGCTATAACAATCAATAAGCAAGTCCTCTGAATTCAACATGTATGGTGAGCTACAGAGTACTAGGATTGCTGGACTGTGGTTTGTTCAGCAGTAAAAGTAGGATGTCGGAAACAACTTTCAGCTTCACCTAACCTAACATATCTTTGGGGTCAATCCACATTAAAAATAATCATAAGAAGAGAAATATGAACTTCTCAATTGTACAAAAGAGCCTAAGATGAGGCAAGCTGATGAAGAATTTCCTTGCTGATAAATAAAAAGAATACAAGACCGAGTGCTCGGTCCTACCAAACAAAGAACAAATCTTCAATGTAGAAATGCGTTTTGATAGCGCATATGGTGGTTATGTTACCTTGACTTAAAAGATCAGATCACAAGCAAAAAATATAAGCCTATGAAAGGTAATGAACTGTCCTCACAGCGGGATTAGCCACCAACTCTCAAGCCCTTGTAATCCACATGGATGCTGACAGAAGTAGCCATATCCCAGACTTCCCCCTTCTAAACAACTCCATATTGAGACCTCCCAGTTTGCTTGATCACATGCAAACAGGTGGATTCTTAAGTTATCTGCAAAAAAATGACAGATCCTCTTTTGAATCATTACCTAATCCTAAACTGAAGAAAAATAATAGTACAGAAGAAAAAGAGAGAGAAAACTGCAAACTCACTTTGTCACGCTCAACTTGGGTCCAATGCTCCATTGCGTTCCAGTCAATTTACTCAATACCGAGCGAGAACCGACAATATTTATAGCCATAATAAGCAAGCATGATAGGGGATTATCTTAAATGAAGTTAGAAAAGATTAATAACAAACTATGATTCATCATTTAAGCAGGTAAAACAGTAAGACTCCACTCCTTAATTGCACATAATATATGCATCAGCCGAAAAGAATAAGCTGAGAAGTAGCACAAGTGTAAATCATGATTTCATCTTCCTATCCAAGCCTTGAGATCTTACAAGGTAAGCTGAGAAGTAGCACAAGTGTAAATCATGATTTCATCTTCCTATCCAAGCCTTGAGATCTTACAAGGTTTCCTGCCCATTTCACCTTTGCCTTGAGATCTTACAAGGTTTCCTGCCCATTTCACCTTTATGCTTTACAAACAGCAATAGATTGACATGGTGCTCCGCGTGTCACTGAGGAGGATACATATCTCCAAGCAAAATCTATATGAAATGGCGAAAAAGATACATACAATGAGGAATGCGCCAAGAATAAATAAATCCAACTCCTTAACACAAGCTATCACCTCAGCAAGGACGCAAAAGGAATAAACAAAACATTAGACCATCCTCCTGTTCTATGGGTCCCAGCATCTCTTGATCAAACCATATTTGTGGTTAACCAAGCTGCACAAGAGGCCATGCATCACCCTTGAAGCTTGAAAGAATATGAGAAAAACCAATTTCAACTGCTAAGTCTCCACAGATTCCTCAACAGTAGATAGTCTACCAGCTTCAACAAAAGCCGGATCAAGAAATCTCGCAACAAAAGCCCACACTCTGTATACATCTTCGAAGTTTGAGAGGAATCCAAGTGACGCTGTGACGACTTCCACTCTGATTATGGTATTCTTACTATCAACTGCCGCATGTTTCTGATTCTCTAAAACTCGTATATGACTAAGAAAGCCAATGCCTAAAGAGATGCCGTGCTTCTCAGCAAGCCTTTGAACAACTTCCGGGTTGATTAATGATCCACTGCTATCTTTCACATTGAATGCTACAGATGCACCCCTCTCATACTTGATCTTTGGGCCATATATGCATACTAGAGGATCACCATTTTCCCCATTTAAATCTGGTAGCCTCAACTGAAGTAAAGATGTCACCAGCCAATTGATCAGATACCGAAGTCTAAATGTGGTTTTGTTGAGACCCAACATGTTCACATGATCAAGATGTCTGCAAACAATCTCTGGTTCCCTTCTGCCCCATTCTTGGGTATCATCATCATCACCATCGCTAGCACCATTATCATCGTCTCCTTGGTTCTGTCCAGAGACTTCCCCAGCTTCTTGACTCAATCTTTCAGTATGTCTATTGTCATCTACACTGAAGGATACTCTATGCCCCATGCTTAAAACCTGCTCGTTCTCTTCAACAGTGAAGAACCTCCCTCCACCATACCGGCCATTTCCTTCTCTTCTTCCCAATAGTCTGAATTCACCTTCGGTTTCTCTTCTGATAGCACTTTCTTTTGTCTTTGGACATACTTCAGATGTTGAGCCATTCTCATGACAAATATGATGACCAAAGATAGAGGCTGAGCTATCGGCTACTGATCCATTCGCAGAAGAGAATTTCACAGTATGTGGCCTGGTCTCAGGCTCTTCTTGAATCTCACTGCTGTAATGAAAATTTTGCACCTTCCTGCCTAGTTCATGTGATTCTTCTTCTGAATCCTCTTTTACCCTGTCCAATTCTAAAACAGCCGCATCAAAGGACACGACATGATCATCATATATCGGACTTCTTGAAATCTTGGTTGCAAGTCTTGGTGACTGTCTCTTCTGGGTCTTTCTCCCAGTGAACCAAGAAGGTGGCAATGGAGAGCCCAACTTCCCTCCTCTATTCAGCTGACCAGAATGATCTGACCCATACGGGCTTTGACCCAAATCAATCCAGAAAGAGTGATCAGAGGATTCATCCTCACTAAATACTGGACTTTTCATAACTTCTCCAATGGACACACTCTCTTCCTCAAAGATTGTACTCGCCCCATCCCTATCTGAGCTATTATCATGATCCATCTCAGTCTCAATCACATCCTGAACCTGAGCCGAAGTGTATGCACCTGAAAAAGCTGGCATTTGAGATCCTTTGCTAGTACCTGGCATCAAAGACTCATCGTTTCCATTGATCAAATCATCCTCAATCCCGTCCAATTCTTCCAAACCATCAACTGAATCACTCAGATACTGAGGGAACACCGGAATAATCTTCACCATCCCCGACCCAGTTCCACCATTTTGGTTCTGCAAACAACCCATCACCGATTTTTTGATTAGGAGGCAACCGAAACCACTTGGGTCAGACCCAAAAACCCGATAAAATGAAGTTATAATGAAATCCGGTCTAAAAAGAGAAAGCCCAAGTGAGTCCATATCCTTAGGACCCAAAGAACCAGCATCCAGCAACACATGCCAATTGTTCTGTTGTGCCAAAGCCATCCACTGATACGAGTACTTTGCACCCGTAACCCTAGATTGAACAGGAAAAACGAACAAGCCAACCGCCGAATCCTTCTTTCTTCTCTTCTTGGTCGATATTTGCTTTCTCAGCTCAATTGAAGAAAGCTTTAGCGTTGGCCACTTGAACCAAGCACTGTAAGTCTTTGCCCCCTTCTCTTTTGCACACTGAGCCATCAAATTCACAGACTGACTCTCGTGATCAAACATCGTCAACAGCTTCTTATTAGTTTGAAACGGGTAAGATTCAGCAAGAAGCTTGAACGCCGAACCTCTACTCACAGTAAAAACCAGCCCATACTCATTTTCAGGTATATTCAAATAATCCATAATCCTAACCTTTATATCATGTTCAACAGTGCCAGCCTCAGCACCCCCATACAGTGCATGATTGCTCAAATTAGCAGTGATCTCAGACAAGCTAAAAGCACAAGACTCCCACTGGTGGAAACTCTGAATATAAGAAAACAATCCGAAACCGCAGTAATCAAGGCACGCCTTGGCTCCAGCCTCAGCAAGATGAGAGTACTCGTCGGCGCGAAGCTCGTCGACCTTCTCAGAGTTCTTGAACTTGGGGTACATGGTGATGAACTTGGAGAAGGACTCGCGGAGGTCGGGGATGGATGCGGGGTCCGTGAAAGCGTGGTCAGCGGCCAGGGCGGTGGCTTGGAGGAATTCCTTTTGCGCGTGCGGGAGAGGAGCGGACCGGCCGACGAGGGAAATCGGCGTGGCGGAGGCGGAGGAGAGGAAGGGATCGTCGATGCTTGGGTTTGGCGAGGGCCCATCTTCAGAGGCCTCTCTCGCAGGGCTTCCACGGAGCTTTGGTTTCTTGAGATTTGCGGAGAGCGAGGAGGACGAGGGAGGAGGGGCTATCTTCTTGGCTCCGGCGGTGGGCATGCCGGCGGCGGGATCCGCGAGCTACGGCGTTCTTCCTTTGTTCGAGGATTAGAGAAGCGCAGTGTGAAATTGGTTTCCATAGTGAAATATGCATGAGAGAGAGAGATTTGGGGAACCCTCAATTTCTTCTTATCTCATTTTAAACCGAATCATTCACAGATTCAAACCCTAGAACTCAAATATTCCTCACAAAAAGAAACGACGAACTCAAAACCTTCTCTCTCTCTCTCTCTCTCTCTCTCTCTCTCTCTCTTTCCCCCTTTCTAGACCGAAAGAAGACACCAAAACCCTAATTTGCGGGGGGCGTTACCTCGTTTGAACTCTAAATTAATCAATTCACTACAATTCAAACTCCCCCCCAAAAAAATAAAAATAAAATCAGATATTCGACACGAAGAAGAAAGAGATACTCAAAATTTTCTCCTCCTCACCCTTTTCGTATAAGATCAGAAGAGGATACTGAAACCCTAATTGAAATGCTGGGGAATTTTACTGAAGACGAGAGGGATCTTCCCCTGGTCAACAAAACGCAGATCCCCAATTTCTCTCTCCTCTTCTGGTTTCTCTCTCCTCGCACGCTGACTCTGTTTCTTATTTCTCTAAAAACAGAGCAAAAACAGAGTAGCAGCAAAATAAATAAAATAATTTAAAAAATGCCATGAAATTAATCCCCCGCACTCACCCAATTCTCATAACTGAGACAGTCAAAGTTTTTGAGGAGAAGATAAAAATAAAAGCGAGGAGAGATCAATAATAATGACATGGTGATTAATAATTAAGATATGGACATTGACTTTCTCAGATATTTTTCTATACTTTTTTTTTTTTGGTTTGATTTTTGTTCCGTTCGAATGGTTTTGTAGGGTGCAAGGTGTAAAGTGGCGTGGGGCCCATCGGGAAGCTTTCGTGACCGAAGATTGCGAAAGTCAATTTCCACCAACATTAGATGGTCCAAGTCATGCTTGATGAGGGTTGAATTGTACAGTGGATCTTTTGTTTAAAAGGATAAATTTGCACATAACTCCTCCCATATTTCTTTGGATGTAGTTAGCACCCCGCAACGCATTTATTAGGACTTATCCTACCGAACTGATGAGGGCGAGGAGCATTATCTAACATCTACACTTCATCATTTTAAAAGTGGCAACCTAGACGTGCTAAATGATAATCAATAAATTGAGGGATGATGAGTGCAATTTAAGAAATCAATGAGGGCCTTACATGCAATTTACCGAAAAGGAACAGGTACAACTTTTGCACAAACTTTTTTGGTTTTTTAATATAACTTACTCAAAGCATCATAATAGCTATTACCTCCTCCAAATCACACTAGCAAGGGGCTGTCTGGTTCACTGTTTTTGAGGGAAATGCTCTCTTGAAAGCCTATCAAAAGTGTCAAAAATATCACTTTTTGACAAGCTTTCAGCCAAAATCTTTTTTTTAGAGGCGATTTTGGCTGAAAAAAATCTTCTTTTTAGAGGCGATTTTGGCTGAAAGCCTGCCAAAAAGTGATATTTTTGACACTTTTGGCAGGCTTTCAAGAGAGTCTTTCCCTCAAAAACAAGGAACCAAACATCCCCTAAGTTGAATTAGACCGCTCTAATTATTTTGGGTTATAAATAGCAATAAATATTTTCTTATGTTTAGCTTTTATGCTATAGATTGATTGTTTTACTTCTCCTTTATTCTCCCAAACTCATTGCCCTCTTCTCCAATAAGGGTCCTTTCCTTTCCATCAACGGTTTTTTTTTTTCATTCTATAGAAGTTATTGTAGAACCTCCAAGCTCATTAACTCTCTAGTTCTCGAAGTCTCTCATATGTTATCTTTAGGCCTGCATTGGAGATTTCAATTTCGAACTCCTCTTCTAATGGAAATGATGGCACCGGGGCTATAACTCAAGACTAGGACATAAAATCAAGGAAAAATTGCTTCAAGGCCCCAAAACTCAATTTCTATTGTGCTGCAGCTCCCTTTACTTTCCCTAATGTGCTACAGCCCCTTCTTTTTTAAAAAATTACGTCCATGCCCCTACAGTCCAAAATCCCGATTTTGCCCTCCTTTCACCTCCCTCCTCCTCCTCCTTTGCCGGTCCCCCTTTGCCCCTTCCCCCGCTCCGCCTCCCTCCCCCGCCCCCACCTCCCTCCTC